TGTTAATTGTGGTATGGTTGTAGGGGTAATGTTTATATATGTATCTACTGAGCAACTTCTTGTAGATTTCACCTGTTGCATGACATACCTCTGGATATCGTGTCTTTATCAGTCATAAACTCCTCGATAACATCGTTCATTTGTGTAATTCTCTCATAAATTATAAGTTGTACGGCAGAAGAGGATGTTATATGACGCATAGTGAGGAAGACCCAGGGAAAACCTTAGGAAAGATATGCCTGACTCCTGACAGGCAGGGAGACAGGGCCGCTGAAGTAGGCAGGCCGCTGGGGCAGACTGGGACACACACAGGTAGTCCACATCCAACCGTGTGTACGAGAAGGTGTATCGCTGGTGCAGGTAACCCGTGTGTGTGTGTGTGTATGATCAGCTGTTCACTGTGACGACACACCCGGGCACCTTGGCTCCTCCTGGCGCCTAGTCAACTTTCACATGTGTTCCAGTGATCGTTTATATTCTTACAACTGAAGTGAAACATACAATGAAAATTAACTGAAAATATATACATTATAAACGGAAAAAAATATATACAGGAAAAACGAAAAAAATATATACATTATAAACGAAAAGAAATATTCTTGAAGTTACTAAAGTGCAAAAGAGATTGTGATGTTTGTTGGCTGTGAGAATATCCATAAATGCCAAGTGTACAGTACATATTCACCCAGGCTGCTGCCCCTCTGGCCCCCCGAGGAAGAGTAACCAGGGTGTGGACACTGTGGGGCGCTCCTCCACCACTGCCTGCCGGAGGTGTACAAAAATTTTTGTTTTGTTACAGTACGAAAAAAAACATACTGACTTCTGGTACAATGTGAAGTAATAACAGTAGTGTGTTGTGAGGAGTTGTAATTGGGTTGTGAGGGGTTGTACTGTGTTGTGAGGGGTTGTACTGTGTTGTGAGGTTGTGGTGTGTTGTGAGGGTTGTGGTGTGTTGTGAATTTGTGAGGGTTGTGAGGTTGTAGTGTGTTGTGAGGGTTGTGGTGTGTTGTGAGGAGTTGTAGTGTGTTGTGAGGTTGTGGTGTGTTGTGAGGTTGTGGTGTGTTGTGAGTTGTAGTGTGTTGTGGTTATACTGTGTTGTGAGTTGTAGTGTGTTGTGAGGGTTGGTGTGTTGTGAGGTTGTACTGTGTTGTGAGGGTTGTGGTGTGTTGTGAGGTTGTAGTGTGTTGTAGGGTTGTACTGTGCTGTGAGGGTTGTATGTGTTGTGAGGAGTTGTAGTGTGTTGTGAGGGTTGTGGTGTGTTGTGAGGGTTGTGTGTTGTGAGGTTGTAGTGTGTTGTGAGGGTTGTACTGTGTTGAGGTTGGTGTGTGAGGGTTGTGGTGTGTTGTGAGGTTGTGGTGTGTTGTGAGGTTGTAGTGTGTTGTGAGGGGTTGTACTGTGTTGTGAGGAGTTGTAGTGTGTGTTTTGAGGGTTGTAGTGTGTTGTGGGGTTGTGGTGTGTTGTGAGGTTGTGTGTGTTGTGGGGGTTGTGGTGTGTTATGGGGTTGTACTGTGTTGTGAGGGTTGTATTGTGTTGTGAGGTTGTAGTGTGTTGTGGGGTTGTAGTGTGTTGTGAGGGTTGTGGTGTGTTGGGGAGTTGTAGTGTGTTGTGAGGGTTGTGGTGTGTTATGGGGTTGTACTGTGTTGTGAGGTTATGTGTGTGTGTGTAGGGGTTGTACTGTGTTGTGAGGTTGTACTGTGTTGTGAGGAGTTGTAGTGTGTTGTGAGGAGTTGTTCTGTTGTGAAGGTTTAGGTTAGGTTAAGTCAACTTAGGTCAGATCAGCTTTGGTCAGGCCATCTTAGGTTAGGTCATTTCAACTTAGGTCAGGTCAGAACACATCGTGGTAAGAGTCAGTGAAGGTGGCTGTTGACGACACATTTTGCTCCCAGGTCAGGTCTCTGGTGATGGCTTCTGGCCAACTGTGAAAGTTGTTAGTAAGCTGGCGAGGACGAGTGTGTGTGTGTGTGTGTGTGTGGTGAATTTGAAGTGAATTTTTGCCGTGTACAGCAGCTAGTTTATTGTAACCCCTATTCTCATCCTGTGAATGGTTGCTCCAAAAAGGATTACAGAGTTAAGTAGGATTATTATCACTGCTGGTCAGGATTTTACGGCTTTCAATGTGTATTTCTAGTACAATATTTACTTCAGTTCTGTACGTGGGAGTTGACTTAGCTACCAGGTGCGAAATGAATACACTCAATATATCAGCTTACCATCGATAGTGTGCCATTGGTTGGGTCTGTCCGTCAATAACACTGCCTTTAATTCACATACTGCAAATACTATATCCTAACCTTAGTCTAGCGGTTATAACATCTAGTGATCTTGGATAATGGATTAATCTCTGTCTCTGCACTTATCTTAGGGTTCTGATTGGCAGACCGAGAGTGTGTTCAGTAGGTTTTGATAGAGGTAAGTTAAGCTGGGACATCAACTCTTATCATGTTAACTGGGAGGGAATCCGAGGCAGCTTGATCCTGATACCCTCGTCAATAAAGCTTTAGAGACAAACAGGTGTCAGTGTGAGTTGAGATGTCAGGGATAAGGAGTCAGTGAGGAGGAGGCTGTCTGTGCCTGTGACTGTAAGCTTCAGGGCTGTTGGTGTGGACATAACCACTGGTTCCGGACATAATTAATATTCCGGACATAACAACTATTTAACATAAATAATGAGGATGGGTTTTTCCCTCACTGTCTCGCCTCTTGTCCTGGCATTCTTAATAAAGTTTATGGGTATTTTCTACAATGTGTTACACCACTAGCATACTAACTAGGCCGTGTTTGCTAGCATTAATTCGCTGGGTCGTGTTCGCTGGCATGTATTCGCTGGGTTGTGTTCACTGGTATGTATTCGCTGGGTTGTGTTCGCTGGCATGTATTCGCTGGGTCGTGTTCGCTGGCATGTATTCGCTGGGTTGTGTTCGCTGGTATGTATTCGCTGGGTTGTGTTCCTGTATGTATTCGCTGGGTCGTTCTGTTCGCTGGTATGTATTCGCTGGGTTGTGTTCACTGGTATGTATTCGCTGGGTCGTGTTCGCTGGCATGTATTCGCTGGGTCGTGTTCGCTGGCATGTATTCGCTGGGTCGTGTTCGCTGGCATGTATTCGCTGGGTTGTGTTCGCTGGCATGTATTCGCTGGGTCGTGTTCACTGGTATGTATTCGCTGGGTCGTGTTCCTGGCATGTATTCGCTGGGTTGTGTTCTGGTATGTATTCGCTGGGTTGTGTTCGCTGGCATGTATTCGCTGGGTCGTGTTCGCTGGCATGTATTCGCTGGGTTGTGTTCGCTGGTATGTATTCCTGGGTTGTGTTCACTGGTACTGTATTCCTGGGTTGTGTTCGCTGGCATGTATTCGCTGGGTCGTGTTCGCTGGCATGTATTCGCTGGGTTGTGTTCACTGGTATGTATTCGCTGGCATGTACTGGCTGTATTCGCCTTTGGCATGCTATTCCTTTAGGTCGTATTCGCTGGGTTGTGTTCGCTGGTATCTTATTCGCTGGGTTGTGTTCGCTGGCATGTATTCGCTGGGTCGTGTTCGCTGGCATGTATTCGCTGGGTTGTGTTCGCTGGGTTGTGTTCGCTGGCATGTATTCGCTGGGTCGTGTTCGCTGGCATGTATTCGCTGGTCGTGTTCGCTGGTCTGTATTCGCTGGGTTGTGTTCGCTGGCATGTATTCGCTGGGTCGTGTTCCTTGGCATGTATTCGCTGGGTCGTGTTCGCTGGTCTGTAATTCGCTGGGTCGTGTTCGCTGGTCTGTATTCGCTGGGTCGTGGCATGTATTCGCTGGGTTGTGTTCACTGGTATACACTGGTTTTTACCTCCGGCTACACTAACAACGTTAAGTATTTCGTCATTATTATTTACATTATTTGTCTCTTTGTTCCTTGTTCAATTTATTCTATCTTTATTAATTTGTTTTCTCTTTATTTTCCTTCTGCCCCAATACTTTTTTTTAGGTAAATCTTTTTTTTTTTACCCTCACGATTTTTTTTATGGTGAACAACTTTTAAACATTTTCCTGCTTATATGTTTTTTTGTGACGAAGTTGGATATGACGACGAGATGAAAAAATGTACTAAGATAAATGAGAGAGAGAGAGAGAGAATACCGTCTCCATATCAATAGGAGGATGGTGGTGGTGGTTTACGCCCCCCACCACACCATGCCAACACACCCTACACAGTAACACACTCTACCACACAACACCACACCACATCACCCTACCACACAACACCACACCAACACCCTACCACAACACCACATAACACACAGTACACCTACACAACACCACCACACACCTAACACACACTAACATCCTACCACACAACACCACACCAACACCTACCACACTAACATCCCTACACAACACCACACCACACACCCTACCACACTCTACCACACACAACACCACACACCCTACCACACAGTAACACACTCTACCACACACACCCACAACACACACACTAACATCCCTACCACACAACACACACCAACACACCACCACACTAACATCCCTACCACACAACACCACACCAACACACCCTAACACACACTAACACACACTACCACACAACACCACACCAACACACCCTACCACACAGTAACACACTCTACCACACAACACCACACACCACACCCTACCACACACACTAACACACTCTACACCAACCTAACACACTAACATCCCTACACACACAACACCACACCACACCCTACACACACCTACCACACCCACACCCCTAACACACACCCACACAACACACCAACCCACACAACCACCCAACACCAACACCCCCCTAACACACACTCACACAACACACACCAACACACCCACCCCTACCACAACACCACACCAACACACTAACACCCCACACCCCACACACAACACCACACCAACACACCCTACCACCCACACACTATTTACCACCCCTCAGACACATTCGTCGTATTAGGAAATTTGTGTGTGTGTGTGTGTGTGTGAGTGGTTGTCCTTGTTCCTCCACAGATATACTGAGACAAGGGTTAAGTTATCGTACAGTCAACATGGATACAGTCAGCATGATGTAATACAGTCAGCATGAAGTAATACAGTCAGCATGATGTAATACAGTCAGCATGATGTAATACAGTCAGCATGATGTAATACAGTCAGCATGATGTAATACAGTCAGCATGATGTAATACAGTCAGCATGATGTAATACAGTCAGCATGATGTAATACAGTCAGCATGATGTAATACAGTCAGCATGATGTAATACAGTCAGCATGATGTAATACAGTCAGCATGAAGTAATACAGTCAGCATGATGTAATACAGTCCCTTTGTCAGTCTACAAGAAGGTTAACTGGTGTTCGTGCCTGCTGGGGAAGGCGACTGTTCAGGGTTTTTCCCCACTTTATGTTTGTTTTTTCATCTTCCATGGTCCGGTTTTTACTGGTCGTCATAATCCCTGGAACAACTTCTTTTAAACACTTCTTGGAGCTCAATATTTTTCTTATTACGTGCTGTTGTGAGGGGTAAAGGGTTGATCTTTTAGGGATGCAACTAACCCCTACCCTACCCTCGTCTCTCCTCCTCACTAGTGTTAGAAACGATCACCAACTCAATTAGATGATTTCCTGGTGTATATGGAATTATTTCATCATAGCAACTACTGGTGGTGGTGTAGGACGATGGTATGAAGGGAGTAGCCAATGTTCTCACTGGGGTCATTCTCGCTTTTTATTACCTTGAGTTCACCTTCTTCGGAAACTATTGTACTCAAGAGGTCCTGGAATTGTTATACCTCGGGTGGATCTTGAAGTTATCGTACGTATCTTGGGATCTTGCTGCTGGTAGGGCGGAAAATTATCGTACCCCGAAGGTCCTGGTGCAGTGGGAAGTTATCGTACCTCAGGGTTCTGTCCGAGGCTTGAAGGTCCCAAGCGGCGACGATCTGACCATTGTGCGAAGTGACCGAAGAGGAGATGGACGGGCCCAAGGGACCTGCAGGTTAACGACGACGAAGGTTCCTGTTCGTTGGTGTGTTAGTTAGGACTCTACTCGGGTGCCATTATCAAGAAGATTTCTGCTCACGAGTGCGGTTATTAGGCATTAGCGCGATTATTAGACAGTATTGCGGTTACTAAGGTAATTTTCTGCCTCGTAGTACGGTTGTTAGGACAAACTCAGCCCTGGTGCGGTTATTGGGACAATTTCTTCCAAGTAATGCGGTCACTAGAGACAGTATCCGCTCAGCAATGTGAATATAAGGACAATTGTGAACTAGACTGACTCTGAACAATACTATGTAACTCTGAACACATTTTCAAAGATCCATTAGAATTATAGAGAGTTCTTCTAGGGTCACCTGTTATTGTCAATGTTATCACTCTTACAATAATGTAAAAATAGAGACTCTATATTTTAACTAAATCCACCGATAAATTCTATCTCCCTCGAGGCTCACCTGAAAGACAGAAAAGACACTGAACTCGAATTTGGTCATGGGCCATCCGAAGACTCTTCCTCCCCCCCCTGAGAGTGTCTGAACAATGATACTAAACTTTAAGCACATTTTCGATGAGTCATTGCAAATATTCTGAACATCATCGACAGTTAAGGGAAAAAATATGTGAACTTTAATGATATTTCAAGTACCATTTCTGAAAGTTGCTCAAATTTAAGGGAAATTTTTTTAAAGTTGCTCAGATTTTTGGGACGATTTCTGAAACTTGCTCAGATTTTGGGGACGATTTCTCAAAGTTGCTCAGATTCAAGGGAAAATTTCTGCAAGTTGCTCAGATTTTTTGGGACGATTTCTGAAAGCTTCTGGGGTAATCACATGTCGAGGTCGGAAGCAAAAAAAACAAAAACTATTATTTCATTGTTTCGTGACGTGGCTCTGAGATTGACTGATGGGGACTTAGAAATTATTTATTGAAGACAATGTTCAATGATTTACTGTCAGCTGAAGTATCAAGTGTGGTCGCTTTTAAAACCTGGTGATGAATTAAGGCTCTGTGGTTGATTTTCTCTTGTTGATATATAAGATTTACCTTGATAAGCCTGGTAAAGCGTGACGAGGCACCGTGATTGTCAGTACCTTAAGGTCTTTTAGTTAATATATAATACAAAGACACTATGATTGGACACCTTATAGAGTTAGTATATAAACTTAGTTCTCTAATAACAAGGCTCTATGATTTACAGCTATTTAGGATACAAAAAAATAACTCTGTGATTGTATTAAAGGCTCTGAAATATCGAAACATCATCTCTGTACCCTCAAGACAAGGCACTGTAATTGATTCCCTACATTGAGGTTTTAAACACGAGTATTATATAGTGTTGAGGAACAAGGCGCTACGATTGACTAACATCAGCGTGCCAAAACAAACCTTCCTAACTAGTGAATGACTCCACTAAGATTTTGAAAAGTAATCTTAGTGTCGAGACGTGGCTTTGTGATTAACTGTCCAATTAGATTTAGAAAAACAATCTCGAGCTTAAATATCAAGGCTTGGCTCTGTGATTAACTGTCGACTAAGACCTGGAGAGAAAAATATAATAGTGAGGAAGGATTAGATCTCAGCTAAAGGAAAGAGAAGGAAAATGAGGGTAGGTTCAAGCACACACCCTGGGGAAGACTCCCTCACACTCTCCGCCGTGAAGGAAGGTTCCTCCACTCACCACTCAGGCACCACTCAGCCTCACCACACAGGCACCACTCAGCTTCACCACACAGTTACCAGTCAGCCTCACCACTCAAATGGCCACACCGACCTATATAAAGGGTAAGTAGGGAGTGCTTCTTCAGGTGTTTCATCAGGTGCTTCTTCGGGTAATCGCATTAATTAACCTGTAGTATGAGTATTGTAATTTTGTGTGTGTGTTTTTGGATGTTAATTAAGTAATTTATCTGTATTCATTTATAATATTCTTCTTTTCTTCCTATTATTATTATTATTATTATTATTATTATTATTATTATTATTATTATTATTATTATTATTATATGTTGTTGTTGTTGTCGCTGTTGTTATTATTATTATTATTAGTAGTAGTAGTAGCCAACACCACCCTCAGTGATGTCAGAGTTACAGTAATACGTTACTAGTGTGTGAGGGAGAGAGGGGGCCTGGTGGTGTGAGGAAGAGCCTGGTGGTGGTGTGAGAGGTGGTGTGTGGTGTGAGGGCCCTGGTGGTGTGTGAGAGCCCTGGTGGTGGTGTGAGGGCCCCTGGTGTGTGTGAGAGCCCTGGTGGTGGTGTGAGGCCCTGGTGGTGGTGTGGAGAGCCTGGTGGTGGTGTGAGGCACTGGTGGTGGTGTGAGGCCCTGGTGGTGGTGGAGGGCACTGGGTGGTGGTGTGAGGTGGTGTGAGAGCCCTGGTGGTGGGGTGAGGGCCCTGGTGGTGGTGTGGGGCACTGGTGGTGGTGAGGGCCCTGTGGTGGTGGTGTGAGAGCCCTGGTGGTGTGTGTGGGGCCTGGTGGTGTGGGCCCTGGTGGTGGTGGTGTGAGGCCCTGGTGGTGTGAGCCTGGTGGTGGTGGAGGCCCTGGTGGTGGTGTGTGAGGGCCCTGGTGGTGGTGTGAGGCCCTGGTGGTGGTGTGTGAGGGCCCTGGTGGTGGTGTGAGGCCCTGGTGGTGGTGTGAGAGCCCTGGTGGTGTGGAGAGCCCTGGTGGTGGTGTGAGAGCCCTGGTGGTGGTGTGAGAGGTGGTGGCCCTGGTGTGTGAGGGCACTGGTGGTGGTGTGAGGGCCCTGGTGGTGGTGTGGAGCCCTGGTGGTGGTGTGAGGGCCCTGGTGGTGGTGTGAGAGCCCCTGGTGGTGGGTGGTGGTGTGGAGAGCCCTGGTGGTGGTGTGAGAGGTGTGGAGAGGGTGGTGAGAGCCCTGTGGTGGTGTGAGAGCCCTGGTGGTGGTGTGAGCCCTGGTGGTGGTGTGGGCACTGGTGGTGGTGTGAGGGCCCTGGTGGTGTGTGGTGGTGTGAGGGCCCTGGTGGTGGTGAGAGCCCTGGTGGTGGTGTGAGAGTCCTGGTGGTGGTGTGAGGGCCCTGGTGGTGGTGGCCCTGGTGGTGGTGTGAGGGCCCTGGTGGTGTGAGAGCCCTGGTGGTGGTGTGAGAGCCCTGTGGTGGTGTGGAGGCCCTGGTGGTGTGAGAGCCCTGGTGGTGTGAGCCCTGGTGGTGTGAGGGCCCTGGTGGTGGTGTGAGAGTCCTGGTGGTGGTGTGAGAGCCCTGGTGGTGGTGTGAGGGCCCTGGTGGTGGTGGTGGTAGTGCTGGTTTTCAACACTGAGGCGACATATGTGGCTCAGTGAGTCATGTGTTACCATCATGTTCCCACAGGTGTTGTCTGATGGTCAGGTGAATTAAATAACCTAGTGTTGTTTGACCTCGGGTTTACCTATATTTTGTCTAACTTAACTTAGACTAAGCTAACTCAGCCTAGTCTAACCTAACCTAACTTTAGCGACTCGTAAAGTTAAGCCTCCCTATACCGTACTCCTCTCCATAATAATCTGTGAGATGGGGAGGATAACGGACCCTCGATATAACGTACTTTCATATCTATATACTTCATTAGATGGAGGTTTTACATTTAACGGACACCTTATTATAACGGACTCTCTTCTCCATACAGCCCGTTAATTGGAGGTTTCATACACAGCACATGAATAATTATACATTACGTCATTCATTAACTCTCTACGTCAGCTGTTGTGTCTTGTGACGACAAAAATTTCCCCAAGTGACCAACCCACACTACGCACCAGGGGACGCCGCCATCTTGGATTTTAACATCACTTAAACCTCATAATTTACATTATTTTTATGACGTAATGTTTATATACCGATAATGAGGTTGTTTGGTGGTTGAGACGTTAGGTAGTTAAGGAAAGGAGTAGTTAAAGAGGTTAGTGGTGGAGAGAGAGAGAGAGAGAGAGAGAGAGAGAGAGAGAGAGAGAGAGAGAGAGAGACTTGGTAGTGGTAATTAGAGGTAAAAGTGTTACTGTATATGACGTCGTATGTATGTATGTATGTATGTATGTATGTATGTATGTATGTATGTATGTATGTATGTATGTGAGACAGGGAACAAGGGGTGGCATACCAAGGGTGTTAGGGCGGCCTCCATTAGTTACGCCTCACTGTTCCTTCTTCACATTGTATCTCACGGCCGCTGGTGTCTTAAACGGCTGGCTACCATGGTGTGTTGTAACGCTTGGCTGGATGGAGAGAGAGAGAGGCAAACGTTCCTCATTATAATTTATGTTGAGAGGAAGAAAACGAGATATTACACTCATCTCCATTCCTAAACATCGCTGGTTCGCTCCCGGGTCACATCCTAACTCAATCCAGCTGTGAATATGCACCTACACCTACGGCCGCAGTAGAGTTCCACGATCGCATTTCATCTCCAGGCAATAAGTCAATGGTACGACCCGCTTCTTATGGCCAGAGTAACCATCCGCCAGCTCAGTTGGAGAGCAGAATGGCTTCATTGTGTGTTTCTATGGCAGCATTAAGTGCTTTAGTGAGATGTGTGGTCCTGTTAAAGCAGACCAAGACGAGAAAGAAACGATTGGAGCCTCCAGGCATTGTTTGTTTACATAAGTGACGCAAGTACTCTAATCAAATGAAATTCCTGTATTATTATTATTATTTATTTTTTTGTATACTATGACATTTTTGTTCGTGTTTTGTTATTGAAATAAACTTATTATATTTTTGTGCATTTTAACATTAATAAGGAAAAAGTAAGAATAGTGCAAATTGTATTAATACAATAGACACACTATAGGGAACATCATTCCACCGTACCGTGGATTTTCAGACGCTCCTTATTGTCCCACTTTCGACAACAAATAAGTTGGCGCTGTAGAGACAACTTGAGGAGTTTGTTGAAATAAACGCCACGGTGGATTTATTCTGGGTAGAAACTCTAGCGTGACCGCAGCTTTACGTTACAGATGAGGATGTGAAAGGCTGTTGAGTTCAGTGCCAGACAGATCGAAGGTTTTGGCGTAGAATTGAACGCCTTTGTGCGGGACCTGTTTCACCACCTCCCTAATACTGTAACACATAACGAGTAAACTGATAGGTTATTACGCGAGACCTTTACGGAGGTGTGACACATATCTCTCAGTTATCTCTCTCAGCGAGTGAGAAACATTTTGTGGTTTAGTTTTTATGTGTTGGTCACGATATTGTACAGCTGGCGGGGCTGTGGGCGGCCTCAGGTGGCTGCATGTAGCCAGCCATGTGTGTGTGTGTGTGTGTGTGTGTGTGTGTGTGTGTGTGTGTGTGTGTGTGTGTTATTAATAACCATGTGTGTGTGCTGATCACGTATGCTCTGCATTGCCTCCAGGTATATACCTGTGTTGCAATAATGGCGACTCTTGCTAATTAACCTTTCTACCTCGTGTTACTTAACTCTCATTTAAAGTATTAGGTACATTTAGATTTAGGCGCCAGATAGGTAAACACTGGTTTGGAAACAGAGTAGTGGACGAGTGGAACAAGTTACCAAACATCATCATTAACTCGAACACGCTGGATAGCTTCAAACACAGGTTGGATGGATATATGAGCAATAGGGGTTGGGTGTAAACGGGACTGCCCAGTATGGCCCGCTGCAGTTTCCTCCATTCTTATGTAATAAATTTAGACGAAAATAAAACCCCTTTCTTGATCACTCTCTACCTGCTGTTATTTACACCTGTTCTAGGCTGTTGTGCTGTACTATGTTAACTCGAGGACTTTATTATATTTTTTGTTCGTATAATACTGGTACTGTATTCTCTCTCTCTCTCTCTCTCTCTCTCTCTCTCTCTCTCTCTCTCTATCATTATGAATAACATACAGGTAAAGGCTAATTAATTATCTTACTAATTCGTGTTGTTTTTGTGTTACAGGTAAGTTGTGTTGCTCAAGGCGATCACTGTTGAGTATACCAGGTGCTGAGGTATGAGGTAAGTATACGATAGAGCTTGAAGTATGCTCAGTATATGTATATTTTATAGCTTGAAGTATGCTCAGTATATGTATATTTTATAGCTGAAGTATGCTCAGTATATGTATATTTTATAGCTTGAAGTATGCTCAGTATATGTATATTTTATAGCTTGAAGTATGCTCAGTATATGTATATTTTATAGCTGAAGTATGCTCAGTATATGTATATTTTATAGCTTGAAGTATGCTCAGTATATGTTAGTTAGCTCTCGTTAAAAGCGAAGTATATGTATTAAACTAAGTCCTGCTCACCTGTGTAAATAACCCAGTTTGTTGGTCCACTTAAGAGACCTCGGTGTGTACGGTGAGAATAGCCTGGACAGTTGTTGACACACACACACACACACTCACACACACACACACACACACACACACACACACACTCACACACACACACACACACACACACACACACCACAAGCACGGATTTATTGGTATATGGACACATCATTTTTTACACATGCATACAAACTTACATACATACATACATATCTTATCCACGTTTCCATTGTGGATCTACATGAATTACATACATACATACATACATACATACATACATACATACATGAATGCGCACACAGTCAGGGTTCAATTGAGGAAATAATCAATGAGTCATAAGCCGCTTTGTATGTTCTGAAGTGTGTGTGTGTGTGTGTGCGTGTGTGTGTGTGTGTGTGTGTGTACAGTACTTACCATCTTAACAACCGTCACCCATCTTTTGCGTCTTAGTCTGCGTCCCTCAGCTTGCGTCTCTCAGCCTGCGTCTCTCTTGCGTCTCTCAGCCTGCGTCTCTCT